TTCCCACTCCTCTCCCAAAAATGGCATAGATTAAATCTTAACACACCCAGCAAAACAAGATGGAAGGGGAAAAGTTGGTTCCGTTTCGGATATTCGCTTACCTTAGTCATATCATGAGGATCAGGCACAACAAACATTCCAGGCGGTGGTTCCTTATAAATGGACATGATATCCCTGAACAAAGAAAACAGGAATCAGCTAATATCTCCCTTTGAGTCAAGCCCAATCCAAGGAGCAGAGTAGGAACAGGAGAAAGCCTGGGTGCGTCAGAGAAAGTGCAAAAGAAGTGAACTTGTTACTGAAAGCATTTGTTTTATTGTGTTGCTGTTTCATTGTTTTCTGGCTAAGCTGTCCCTGCTGATCCAGGAGAAGAGCCGTACGATACGTTACAAAACCGACAGAAGCAGATGTGTCTCCTTGCAAGCTGGGGACAATGAGAAGCATGACACCTTAAACAGTGAAAGAGCTCCTCCCAGTGTTGATCTGAGTTGCACACCCCCGCAAAAAGAGCCTTCCTGTTTGTAAAGAACACTGAGTTGAGCAAAAGTTTTGGTAGTATGACGAAGCAGATGGAACTTCTAAGAGATAAGAAAACCTCAACATCCAACAAGTTAGTGCTTGGATTGGAAACAGTTTGTACCACCTTATGGTGAAGTTACAGTTTGGGAACAGGCAACAGAACAAGGCTCTGCAATAATTTGGCAAGCAAGGAGGTTTGAGATGCGGGAAGAGGAAGAATCTATTGAAATAACACCAGCACTTGTAACACACTGTTCATTGTTTTAAAGGTCATCAGCGTGCCAGAGCTAATGGGAACAATCCTTTTACATGCATCCTTTAATACTGCAGCTAGATGGGGGACAGCAGGATTGTTCAGCTAGCATCACACAGGCAAATGAACGAACGGGGCTGAAGTGGGCCAGTTATCAACACCTTTTACGACTCAATCTGGGAAGACAAAAAAGAAACCATTTCCCCTATTGACCCAATACAAAACTCTTGAGTTGCAGATGCCCAAAGAATTTTGGTTTGACTGGCAAACAGCTGGCACGACAGACTAGATTTTAAGATGAAAGGGTCAGGTGAGGTATCATCCTATAATGAGACTGAGGACAGGATCAGGAGATCAGAACGCTGCTCTTGTGTCTGATACAAGCTCACTCAGGTGAGTCAAGTTGCCTCTCTTGTATGCACCTGGGAAAATGCAGTTGTGAGACTGAACTCAATGGATGGGCTTTAAGATCCTTGCATGAAAGTGGCAAAATATGACTTCATGCCACTCAACAGAACAGACATTTTCTTAACTACTGGCAGCAGTAAGAATGGTTTAACCAGGCGGGGACAAAGGGAGGAGTTTCTGTCAATTCCCTCTTTAAATGATAAACATGATCACTGAAACAGGCTTTGGCAGTTTTAGCAAGAAGTTGCTGACCCATATGAGTGGCCACATTTCAGTGGTGGATAATTTATTCTATTATATTCCCCAGAAAGTCCCACCCAGACATTGGGTGCTTCATTTCCTATGCTGTACAGCATGGCTGCGGAACAGCTGTCACATTCCACCCAAGACCTGGATACACGACTGTACAGCCCACCGCTCGCTTTGGGAGCCTTCTGGGTGCTTTAGAAATTACAAAGCGGCATTAGTGCACTGGCTCTAACGTGAGAGCAGCGAGCTGACGTGCGGCAACAAGGCCAGAGGGACTCGGGAGCACTGTGAGGCACTGAACGTGCTCCCAACATTGGGGAAGCCTCCTGAATCCTAGCGAGCTGCAGCTATCTCTGGGGACAAGACCCAACTGGCGATGAGCAAGGTAGCGCCACACACCACTGTGGAAAGCTGTAAGTGCCAGTGGATCAAGAACTGCATCCAGTGCCTAGGTTCACAGGTGCCTCAGTAGTGGCCTCAGGTCATGAGAACATGGAACAGCCGTACTGGGTCAGACCAAAGGTCCATCTCACCCACTGTCCTGTTTCTGACAGTGGCCAATGCCAGGTGCCCCAGATGAAGTGAACAGAACAGGGGAGCATGAAGCGATCCCTCTCTTGTCACCCAAGAGGCTAGAAACACCATTCCTACCCATCCTGGCTAATAACCATTGATGGACCTAACCTCCAGGAATTTATCTAGCTTTTTTTTTGGACCCATGTGAAAATCTTGGCCTTCACCACACCCTTTGGCAAAGAGTTCCACAGATAACTGATAAGCAAAAGCTCATAAGGTTAATGCTGTAGACTACACACATTTCCCTCCCCCTAACTTGCCAGTACTTTTTTTTTAAGCAGGCTGGCCAGCAGCCCGGCTCAGTCCTGGCTTGCAACGGGTCTGGGACCTACTCCTGCTGTGGCTCTGCATTTAAAGCATAATAGGAGCCGGGTGGGCAGTTCCAGCTCACGCCAGGTCTGCAAGCTCAGACCTCTTCCTCCCACCCGACAAGGGCTGCTACCACCCTATGCTGCTGCCTCTGTATCAAAGACAGCAGCATGGGGCAACAGGCAGCCAGACTGCAAGGGGAGCTGCTTTTTAAACTGATTCCCCTCGCGGACCAGCTCCTGCCTGGCATCCCATGCTGCTGCTGCTTCTGATTCAGAGGCAGCAGCACAGAGCAGCAGGCAGCTCCTCTGGAGTGAGGCTGGAGCACACTGGCTGCTGGCTCACCCCCGGCACTACAAAATAATTAAGTAACCATGAGGTTATTCGACCATTCAGTTAACCGACATTTGACATCCCTGGAACATGGAAGAGATCATCCTCTCCCAAGCATAAATGTTATTTTCTGGTTCAGAGGGGGCAGCCGATTTAGTCTGAAACTGACCTCAAAAAAGAAAAAAAAACCCAACAAATAGTCTTGCAGCACCTTAGAGACTAACAAAAAAAAACCAAAAATGTAGACAGCCATTTTGTGAGCACAACCCATTTCTTCAGATGAATGAAATTTAAGGGGATGGTCCAGTTTTTAAATAAATAGCACATAGAGGAGATGGGGGGTGGGGGGGAGGAGCAGGGAAGAGGAGGAAAAAGAAGGAAAAAGACGGGAAAAATTGTCAATAAGAGTGTCTATGCTAAATGAAGCTGATAATATTTATTACCCACTTTAAGGACCCTTGGTTTGGTTTCTTAAGTTATTAGGATGTGGAATGTAGTGGGCCATCCAGTCAATGTCTTTGTTTATGCTTCTGTTGTAGGAATCAGACTTGTAAATGAAATGGAGTTCTGTAGTTTCCTTGTCGAGATGGCTTTTGAAATTGGTTTGAAATAATGCAGTGACTTTGAGATCCACTGATGAGTGCCTAGGCAAGTTAAAATGTTCACCAGCAGGTTTCCGTGTGTTGCCTTTTTGGATATTTTTGTTAACACCAAACTGCCAAGTTAGCCAAGTCTTAAGTATAACCTTCCTTCTCCTCCTCCAAGTAACCACCCCCAGCACTCTCCCTAAATAAACTCTAACAATTTTTTCTAAGAAAAGATTATGCTTACCAGCAATTCTCTACTATTTTATACTTCAGTATTCTAAACCCTCTTCCCATATAGTAAGCTATTTATATTCGCTAAAATACAGTACCTGTTAGTATTGCATACGTTGTAGGAGATTTTGTGACTGTTTTAGCATCCTTTTGATTTGTTTAATCCTCCCAACAGAGTCGTACCTGGAACTCATTGCTTCTATATGACCTACAGTTTGAAGTGACTGCAGGAACTTTTGAGTGGTGTGGTGTTTTTTGTTTGTTTGTTTTTGTTTAAACCCTAGCCATTTCTACTGAAGTTTTGTTAAACTGCATTATTTTATTGCTTTTTATTATATAAAAAATAAACTAGGATTAATTCTTTGGTCAGCTTAGAGTTTTTGTATTTTAAAAATGTATACTGCACAACTTAACTTGTTAGCAGTTGTACAGAGTTTACAAACTAAAAACATAAAGGCTTTGTCTATACTTACCTGGAAGGTCGAATTAATGTATGCAACTCCAGGTACATTAATTGCATAGCTGGAGTGGGCGTGTCTTAATTTGACCTTCAGCACTGTCTCCACAGTGGGAGATTGATGGGAGCAAAAGCTCCCATCAACTTCAGTTACTCCTTGTGAAATGAATGCCAGTGTTGATTAGGGTGCTCTCAGCATTTGATTTAGGGGTCTTTACTAGATTCACTAAATCAAACTCTGGAAGATAGAATGCCTCAGCATCGATCTTCTTGGTAGTGAAGATGTGGCCAAAGGAAATTACTTTTACAGTTCTTGAATACAGATCATACTTGAAGTATTTAATATTTACAAAATTTTTCCAAGACTTAAGTCTATACTGTTGGCTATTTTTTCAGCTAGAAAACTTTTCATTTTTAAAACTAGCATTTTTTGAACTATTAAAGGACAAAATACTTTCAAAATAACTACTTGTTCTTGGGCAGGTTTTATATTCTTGTAACTTCAAAACTAATGTATATAGCACTAATTTAAAAAAACCCACATTACTCCAGAGCTAAACATTCCTGTCTCTTTTGACACCCGTGCTTATATTTCTGAATTACAAAATGTAAACAGTAATTTCTAGGAAAGTGAAGATCTTATTGCAGGGCACCCATCCCCCTGTAGGTCCCAGAGCAGTGGAGGGTCAGGGACTATTTTTCTCGCCTTCTGCCTCAGCTGGCAGCCCCCAGCGCCCCCCACGTGCAGGGCACCCATCCCCCTGTAGGTCCCAGAGCAGTGGAGGGTCAGGGACTATTTTTCTCGCCTTCTGCAAAAGCCTCTGCCTCTCTCATCACAGCATGATGACATTGTGAGCATGGCTGTAATGTTTTGTCAGGCTCTTGCCCCATGGGCTAAGTCAGCTCCTCCAGCTACCGTTCCAAAGGCAGCGGCCCTGGTTTCATCTTAGAGTGGTACAGCCCCTTGCAAACATGAGTTAAGCCTCCAAAGCTCCTTTGAAGTACAAAGCATGCTCATATGTGAAAGCGAGGAACAGGCAGCAAAACGGTGGTGGGGGTTACTCTCCCTCCTGCTGAAATTTAACAGTGTTATTTTGAATCATGCTATAGGATTTGAGCCACACAAATGACCTCAACTGTATATACTTAACCATTGTCAAAAGTTGGAAATATTAGGCAAGCTTTCCCCACACAATAATAGTTACAGGTTAGGTTAAACCGTGTTAAAACTCCCAGTACAGCAGACACCCTTCCAAAAAAGCTGAATAAGGGAGCAATTAAATGCCCCTGTTTAGCACTAGCCAAAAGAACAGACCCACATGGTAAGGTTAAGTGTACGCTATGCCACACAGACTGAGGGGTGCATCAGGGACTTATACAGCAAATGCTGGAGCTGGGTAATGACCACAGGAAGGAATGGGGTACATTTGAGGCTGTTTCTATACTTAGAAGCATAGCACTTCAGTGACAGGAAGAGTTTTCCTGGCACTGTTGGAAATCCACCTTCCCGAGACATGGTAGGTAGGTTGACAGACACATTAATCCATCAAACTAGGGCTGTCCACATAGTGGGCTAGGTTAGCTTGACTACATTATTCAAGAGTGTGAATTTTTCTCACAATAGAGCGGAGTTGATTAAATTTTCTAACATAGGCCAGCCCTGAGACAGAGGCAGAAGCAATAAAGATGACACGGGCAGGCTCCAGCTAAGAAAGCCAAGCATACAGCCAGAGCAACAGTGGGGAAGCAGGGCCCTAAGAAAAGGCCTACAAAGAAAACTTGTTGCTGTGAGTGCTGATTGAAAGAGGCTTGGACTGTGAGCAAAGAAACGCTCCTGTATAGAGTCCTCCTGTCTTCAAGGAAACAGGACTTTGTACATTTGAGGGAAAAAATAATTACATGAAAGAAATAACTAGTATTGATTTCTCACTGTGGAAACAACTTTATAGGATTCCAAATTTTGGCTAAGCACTTAGGTCAAAAGGCGATAACAATACTACAAAGTCACAATTGACTAACAAATTCCTCTTCAAGGTCACTTTTTCTGAGGGCACAGAAAGGAAAACCAGCTGCCTAGAATAATAGACAAGTTGCTAGCCACCCGTAAGTGCAAAGGAGAGCTCTGCCAGGAAGAGTGAAATGTAATCATTTCAGATTGATTTGTCACAAAAGCTAGGAAAGGGCAAGGTGCAGTCTGCACTTACTCATCTCTCTACCAGGAAGGAGCAACCCACAGAGATTACACCACCCAGCAATCCCTGCTTTAACATACCCGTAAGCCTTTTATTTACAAATTATACCAGTAGGGAAGGGTGGAGGAGAGGAGGGTGACCTCAAATAATAATAAAAAAAAATCATAGAAAATACACAGGTTAGAAAGATCCGTACAAATATCACCCTCCACCAATCCCTGAAACACCCTCAGCATAGGAAAAAAAGGAAAGAGGCTCTCAACCAGGAGCTGGGATTCATAATTTGGAAGACAGGGTAAGGCAGACTCACCTGTCCTTGAGTCTCTGCTAGTATAGATCAAAGGGTCATCGTTGGGGTCACCCCAGAGCAGGGGATGCACAACAGTTTAAGATGAAAGTACTTCTGCTGTGTTTTTATGTATGTTGTAGCTTTAGGATTTGTGACCATTTGCCACAGAAAACCTCTCTTCTAGGTTATCCCCTCGTGGAATCCAGTTTTCCTACAGCTATTCCTCATACCTAGTTCTAAGTGTAGTTTTGACATTTAAATTACAAATGGGAAAATATCAGTCTAATCAACTGACAAGGATCTCTCTCCCCTCCCCCTCCCATTGGAAGAGGCAGATAAAACAGGTATCTGACCCCATGTTTCATTGTAACTGGCTACTAAAGCTGGGCAGGGTTTTGTGCTAAGATCCTGATGTATATGACCTTTCATTCAACTAGCTAATTTGCTTCAGAGTAGACATAAGCATGAAGGGGCCCCAGTGAACCACTTTCTGGGGTTAAGGTCCATCCTTATACATGGATTCTACATAAAGCCTGTAAAGCAGGCATCATTGGGAAGATGTAAGTAACACAAACACAAAAGCTTGCCTCTTTCATGAAGAGGTGTTGATCCAATAAAATGTATTACCTCACCCATCCAGTCTCCTGAATATCCTGGGACCCACACAGCTACAACTACACAGCAATCAATGCAAGCATCACCCAAAGATGGTCCCTTCTGAGTTTCAGCCTTCTGACAGAACCACATTCTGAGGAAACTGCCATTTCATGCACACACTGTTACAGCATATACTGCAGTGATCCATGTGTCCTTTGGGGGCAGTGTTAGAATAGAAAGCCAAGAAGTGAGCTCTCCATAGCAAGCAATCTTCATTCCCATTGACTTAAGGCCCTGGGCTCCTCAAGCAATATGCTGAAGAGGTGGGACCCACACAGGGACATACCAGCCATGATGTTCAGCATCACAATGCCTAACTTTTAAACACCCAGAAAAAAAAAATCACAGGAACAGCACTGCCATCTGCAAAGCCTGAGTTAGGCATCCAGGCTCCCTATACAACGAATGGGGAGTGAGAGAGGCACCTTGGAGCTAAGCTAGCCCCCAAAAGGATCTGATCAGAGGTGTCAGCAGCTGCCTAGCATGGGAGTGAGTCACAAACCTGGGGAAGATATGGTGTTCACCCCCCCAATCACATGCAGAACCCAAAACAAATTGCCAGGAAGAGGTGCTCCCTTACAAGCTTTAGCCCAGTCGGGGATGTGAGACACCCCAACTACAAGTCCCCTCTCTACACTCCATGGAAGTGTTGTGCCACTCCCACCTTTCCTCAGCTGCCTAGCATGGGAGTGAGTCACAAACCTGGGGAAGATATGGTGTTCACCCCCCCAATCACATGCAGAACCCAAAACAAATTGCCAGGAAGAGGTGCTCCCTTACAAGCTTTAGCCCAGTCGGGGATGTGAGACACCCCAACTACAAGTCCCCTCTCTACACTCCATGGAAGTGTTGTGCCACTCCCACCTTTCCTGCTACCAGAGAGGAAGAGGGAGCTGCTACTGGAGGAGTCCTACATGGCCACTGCTTTTATTTATGCTTAAGGCCAGCCTTGAATGAGGCAAGTCAAGGTTGTTCAGAAACACCTATAAACAAACCTGTCCGGCCCAGACTGAGGCACCTTAGGGAGCTGGGTCTCAGTCTTTTCAAAAGTAGTTGACCTTACTCGACCTACAGTAAACCCCTCCAGCAGGACTATGTACATCCTGGCTGTGTCTAGACTGGCCAGTTTTTCCCAGAAAATCAGCCGCTTTTCCAGAAAAACTTGCCAGCTGTCTACACTGGCCGCTTGAATTTCCGCAAAAGCACTGACTTCCTACTGTAAGAAATCAGTGCTTTTTGCGGAAATACTATGCTGCTCCCGTTCGGGCAAAAGTCCCTTTTGCGCAAAAGTTTTGTGCAAAAGGGCCAGTGTAGACAGCTGAGATTTGTTTTCCGCAAAAAAGCCCCGATTGCGAAAATAGCGAGCGGGGCTTTTTTTTTTTTGGCAGAAAAGCACGTCTAGATTGGCACGGACGCTTTTCTGCAAAAAGTGCTTTTGCGGAAAAGCGTCCGTGCCAATCTAGATGCTCTTTTCCGAAAATGCTTTTAACGGAAAACTTTTCCATTAAAAGCATTTCCGGAAAATCATGCCAGTCTAGACGTAGTCCCTCAGAACAGTACACAACCACCACCCGGCTCAGGACAAGTTACATTCCTTCCAAATCCTTTCCCTCTATCAGGATTTCACAGGTTATTTGGCCAAGATTCCTCCTCTCACCACACAAATACTCCCTGCCAGCATTATCACTTTCTTCAAAAAGGAAGACAGATGCCGGTCCTACACAAGCCTAGTAACTACAGAACAAGGCTCCCCATACTGAGTTTTAACTCACTTAGTTCAACACACAACTGCAGTCTTCGCTACGGTACCGCATGAGCATGTCACAAAACAGTGCCAACCATGCAAGGGAATGCCCCCAAACCAGCTAACACACTCAGGCACAGAATCACCATACTTAAAACAGCATGGTCTTTTCATTTATACGATTTGCCCACCAATTTTCCACCATGGATGGTTCTTAGTACTTACGCAGGTGTTTTAGGATTGCTTGGCTCCTTCCTACTGTTTGTTTGCCTACTCTGATAGGCAAGAGTAATGAGAAAGCACCCTACTTATTAGTACAATCCATTTTAAAGTTCATATAGTCAGAAAGGTCACAACTAGTTTTAAACAGGGCTTTAATTTTGTAACAGGGATTGCAGAATTAAATTATCTGAAACTGAGAACCAGGTATGCTTTCTGTAGAGTTGTGACAACCTGCTTTTATTAAGCACATAATTTTTGTACCACTAAGATGCCAGAGGAAGTTAAGAGTTGATTTGGAAAATGTTACTCTTGGTGCTTTTCTCCATGGTATGTTCCAATCTGTTATAAGTGTCAGGCACAGCTGCTCAGGAAGTAAAATTCATGTCTCCATGTGTGAATATTAAACTTCATATTATAACCTTCATTGATACATTACATTTGAAGAGCTTGCCAGACGCAAAGAACCAGGGAAGGTGGGTTGATGACCTCTGTTTTAAACCCAGACTTCAGATCCCATTTCTCTAAAAGAAAGTTAGACGTTCCAGCCACACGAGTGATGTATCAATGATGGAGGATATCTTATATATCCACATTCAAGTCTACTAACATATGCTCAAATTCTCCTGCTGACACCCTCTAGGTACCGTGTTTCAAATGTAGCCTAGAAGAGGCACCACAGTGAAGATCCGGATACAAGGAAATGGTGTTGTCTAATGTCAGTTTAAGCAGTTATCTGCTGTAATATGGCAACGTGTTAATGCTAGTTATCTTGAAAACAAGAATGTGAGCGTCTACACACCCATTCCATTATTTCAAAATAACGGACGGCTTATTCCAAAATCTGTAAAACTCATTCTATGAGGAATAACGCCTATTCTGAAATAGCAGCAGTGGAGCATCTACACACACACCTTATTTTGAAAAAGCTATTTAGAAATAGCCCCTCACCAGGGCCGTTCTAAGGTATTCCTCCCTAGTTCCTATCCTGGGACTCGGAATCAAGATAGCACATCTACATTAGGGAAACCTATCTCCGACTAATTTTGAGGTTTCCCTGCCGAGTAGATGTGCTATTTCCAAATAAGCTATTTTGGAATAGCTATTTTGAATAGCTTATTTCAAAATAGCTGTGCAGAGTAGTCATACACAAATCATCTGTTTAATATTCTGAGGGTAAGACCCGTGTATGTGTGAACGTGATCAACACCAGTGGCCCTTCCCTCAGCTTTTACCACTGTAATCGCTTGTAGAATCAAGTCACTTAGTGGCAACCAGCCATCTTTATTCATTTTGCTACTTTATTTACAGTAGTTACCATCTCTCCAGATTCCCATATTTACCTTGTTGGGCCGATCTTAAAAAAAAAAAAATCTTACAAGATTTTTTTTTTTTTAATCAGCATGCCACAGAAGATCCCAGGTGTTGGCACTTAGCAATATGGAAATCCCAGGTGTTGGCACTTAGCAATATGGAATGTGAGAAAGGAGGAGTCTGAAACTAGTTGATTAGGAGAAAAACTTTTAATTGTAAATCTGGAACGCTCTGGTGAAGGAGGCAGACTCAAACCGGACAGGACACCGAGTGACGGAAGCCAGGAGCTGGCCCAGAGGCTGTCACATAGCAAACAGGATGAGGAATGCCACCATCAAACAGAAGAGCCCCATGGCCTCAGACAGAGCAAAGCCCAGGATGGCGTAGGAGAAGAGCTGCTGCTTGAGAGAGGGATTCCTGTAGGGGACACATTAAAAATAGATCCCCGAGTGAGAAAACACAAATCTGTTCCACAAGGAACTCTCATAAGCCACTGGATTCAGTAGTAAAGTTATGCCTCCTGAAGGCAGGAGACCATAGAACAGTGGATACGGATGGATGTGGATGTGGCATTGGGATGCTCAGAACACACATGCATTAAGTTGAAGAGAATGAAGTGAGTGAAAGCCCAATGTAGTTCAAGCATTCCTCCAGCTTCTTAGCCTCTCTGTATGCAATCCACTAAGCCTCCGAAAACTGATCTCCATGGTATGATTTTATCAGGCAGCAGCAGACACATTTTACTGAGTTATTGTAAACATGAAAGAGTGAGGAAGTTATTGGTATTTTTTACATCCTATCTTAAATTATGTGGTGTAGCTGTTTAGCTGTATAAGTCGGTCACTTTTTATTGCAGAGGTGCCTTCATTTTGCTAGTAGATAAAATTATTCCTTACCATGTATTAACTGGCAATTGCATTTATGTTTGAAGTATATATACACAGATGAAAGACGCTATGAAAATGCAAGATCCTCGTTATAAGCAGTTCCTTGGGGTTTGGAACACTATAGTTCTAAATTCACTTCCTTACTCCCCTCCCACTTTTCTGTTTGCTATGGTCAGTCTCAACATTCCCCCCCACCACACACACACACACACACACACACACACACTAAGTAACATCTAAGGCTCTCTTTGTAAACACTCAGTCTACAACACTGATTGCTGGAACAGGGAAGTAAAGTTGAAGCCAGAGTCTTGCTTACCTGGCATAGCCAATGATCAAGCTGCCAAACACAGTTCCGATACCTGCTCCTGAACCAGCCACCCCAACTGTGGCAGCACCCGCACCAATGAACTTAGCAGCAGTATCAATATCCCTAGACGTAGTGCTCGTTTGGAACTCTCGGTGAGCCAGCTGTAGATGGGAAACACCAGAGGGCTGCAGAGAGAAGTCAAATAGTGGTATGGTTTTAGTTGAACATTTAATATAGATATTCAATGTCCATCTACAGTTATCCTCTGTTCTAGGTAGAGCAAGGGCATCCAAACTTTGCCCAGCTGTGAGTCTACTCTAGCAACCTGGTAGGGCAATACTCCAACTCCTAGTACAATCTCTACCATTCCATTAAAGTAAAGGCTGCTTGCCCCCCTCCATCTCTGTACAGAGTCACCAGCAATTTGAGCTGGTAACCTGACCCAGGCACTGAAGACAAAGAGTATTTCACTGTGCAAACCCACATGCACCTGGCTAGAGAGGAGTGCCAGAGCTGACCACTACAAAGAAATTGCATCCAAATATGTTAGGAACAGAGACCAAATTACAACAGCTAGGAGTAATTTTCTTTAGTCTTACCTGGACAGTCTGAATCTCAGGCCTGCTCAGTACAGATATGGAAACGGGCCTTGTCAGAGCCCTAGAACAGCAGCGGAACTGAAGTGAAAGAAAGACAATTCGTTTTAGCCGCAATGGGACAGCTTCACATTCCTTAGAGTTGAAGGCAGTTTACAGTGCCATGAAACACAGTCATACGTTGGGGGTCTTTGAACAGCTTGTGCAAGAAATTAAGAGTTGCCCTTAACTCCACTGCCATTTTTACTTTCTAGTTTTCTCAGGGACTCAAGCTAGTTAATCTAGAATCTAAGGACAAGATGCTACTGAAGTATAATTAATAACACTATATTTTAGTTTTAGACCAGTATTGTAAACTTTGAGGAATTTATAACTAGAAAGGAAACTTGTCTAGAGTGGAGGCGGAAGTACACTTAGAGTATCTTCTCAGGCTCTGCACTTGCTTAACAATGCAACCCTACTGAAACTAAGACATGACCTTGTTTCCTCCAGTCAAGGAATCTGGAGTGACAGTTATCGACCATAACGTATCCCAAGTAGAAAGGTGTCTGGGATAGAATTTTGAACAGCTCTAAACAGAAATGCTTTCATTCTCCATGGTAGCTGCATGCCCCACCTCTTGGCATTATTCCTCCTCAAACAAAAAGCTACTTACCAGAGCTGGAGAAGCAAGGAGAGCCACAGGGGTCTGCATTTTGATCGATCTAGCAAGAAGAAAGCAAAAGCACATTGAGAAGGAACAGCACACACCCAGACCCATGTTACTCTTTACAGTAGAATGCACATCAGGGTAACATGAACTCCCCAGGAGAACTGCAATTTTCCTTTAGCTGCTATGCCTTATCCCACTTCTTTCTCTTGATTCACCCTTCAGTTGCCACTCAGTCTCACTCTCTCCTGAAGTCTGCTACAGTTTTACTTAGGGTCCTTTAGACACAGGCTCACAAAAGAGTTTTGCCAAGTTTCAATCATAAAACTAAACTAAACGGCTGGCTTTAGATGGACGCTGACAGAAGGGTTGAGTAAGTCCCTCACAAACGAGAACCAGACAGATGGAGCACCATGAATGAGACAGTGACCTCCAGCTGTGGAAAGCCAAGGATAAACTAACAGCTGGACGAGTTCAGAAGAGTTTTAAAGTGAGTACATTTAAAAGCTCCAGCAGGGACAGGACATGTTGAGTATTAACATGTTCGCAGGCAGAGGCAAAGTCTTGTGGGGGGAGGAGGAGAGAAGGAAGTTTCACCTCTCCGAGAGAGCAACGTACAGAGCTTTCCCTGCCAACACCAATTTTTATAACAGTTTTGTTAGCCGCTGCATTTCGAAAATACCCCTATTGCCGTAGTCAAGGCACATCGTAATAAGGGAGGAAGAGAGCAATAAACCAGTGAAGGGATGTTCAGAGGCAAAGTCTTGTGGGGGGAGGAGGAGAGAAGGAAGTTTCACCTCTCCGAGAGAGCAACGTACAGAGCTTTCCCTGCCAACACCAATTTTTATAACAGTTTTGTTAGCCGCTGCATTTCGAAAATACCCCTATTGCCGTAGTCAAGGCACATCGTAATAAGGGAGGAAGAGAGCAATAAACCAGTGAAGGGATGTTACCCCCTCCCCATACTAGCCCCAACCCCCTTTCTGCCTCCCCC